ACATTAAATATTTATTTTCCAAATCATTTTCTAAAACATCATTTAATAGGGAATAGTTTGGTAAAATATCTATATGATTAATTATTTTCTTACTGGGTGTGGCAAGTCAAACCGTTACAAGTAAAAGTGAACAGAGGGAATAATATTTTATATAACAAACGAAGCATTTTATTAACGGTCGATTCCTCCGTGACATTTTAAAAATAAAGTATCCAAAACTAACCAAATCATATCAGCACTAAAGCGAATTCAAAATGATTGAGACACGGTAGAAAATCACAATTTTAATTATTTAATATTCACAATAGAGTAACCCATAAAAAAAGTAGAATACAAATCTCTTAAAATAACATTGAAGAACCGGACCTCATAAAATAACTTGACAACTTCAACTCCCATCCTTTTCAATGCTTTTAATTTCCGCGTTTCATAAACTGAAAAGTCAAGAGTAGTTGTAAAAATGAAAAATGGATTCGATGTTCCTAACAAAATGAGCACAACTATTCTATTAAGCTTTGCGTGAATTCTAATATTCCAAGCTATGGGTTTCTTAAAATGTCAGATCATTGTAATATTCCTATTTTACTATCTCATCATAGCACAGCCTAATTTCAGTTTACAATGTAATGTGACAGAGTACCCTCCAAATGGTACATACCACACAAACCTTAACACACTTGTCTCGTCTCTTTCGCGCAACATAGACAGTGATGGCTTCTATAATGCTACCATAGGCCAAGATCAGGACAGGATTAGTGCCATCGCACAATGTAGAGCAGATGTTGAATTACAAGCATGCCGCGACTGTATAAATAATGCTACTCGCTTGATTTTAGAGAAATGCCCTTCCAAGAAATCAGCCTTTGAGGTTTATGACGTGTGTCTGATAAGATATTCAAATGAGTCCTTCATAGGCACCATGTCAACCGATCCGCGATCTGTTTATTATGTCCTCGGGGATTTCTCGAACCCCCAATTGTTTTTTAACCAATATCTGACACCCGTGTTGACAAGCTTACGAACTCGAGCTTCAGCGGGTGGAAAACGCAAGTTTGCTGCTAATGTTTTTATTGCCCCTAATTTTGAGACTATACATGCATTTGTACAGTGCACATCCGATTTATCAGCTCGAGATTGCTATGACTGTTTAACCGCTATTTATTCAAGTTTGCCTGGCTGTGAATGTTATGCAAAGAGGGGAAACTACTATATAATGCCCAGTTGCATTGTTCGGTATGAACCTTACTCATTCTTCAATGAATCATTATTGGCTGAAGCTCCACCACCCTTATTGTCACCGCCGCAGCCAGCCTCATTGCTGCCACCACCACCACCACTACCAGGTATTTGAGCCTCTTTTGTTGGCCGGCTCACCGGCCTCAATTGTGTGTAAAGAATGTTTGCACTATCAAGTATATCTTTTTCAAGATTGTAATCCCAATTATTCTGTGACTTAAACACACAATATACTCTGTTGTGCTTGTAATTAGGGGTCGTTAGGTAGTTGGTTTAGATGTGAGTTATGCAAGTATTACATTCTGCATAAGTAAATACTGTGTTTGGTAGTTGATTAGGAGATACACTATTCATATATAAAATTAATACCATGATTGGTTTCTATTTTAGAAACTCACATAACTAAGTTATGAGACAATCAATGTATTATATTATGCAGGATAGAAGGTACGTGCATAAAATAATTCATAAATTCACTCCTAACTAATTCTTACATAATTAATCTCTGCATAGCTTTAATAGCAACCAAACGACCCCTAGGTCATTATAAAATATTGTGCTTAATTAACATATAAATACTTCAATTCAAATTGCTATTCTAGTTTTAACTTTCCACATAATTGAAAGAAGGGTATAAAATATGAATATTTGTTAACCTAATAACTAAGTTGAAACATTTTTGTAGGGAAGGCTGATAAAACCGCAAGAACTATCATCATTATTGTTGTGCTCGCTGTCACAGTTGTTATTTTTATTGTTTGTATTCCTGTCATCTTGATGAAGAGGCGAAAGAGGAAGTTGGTGAACAAAAGAGAGGGTAAGGATGGCTTATTAATGATTAAGGAAAGTTGAATTTTAATTAAATCATGTTTCACTAATTTGTTCTGTTCAATTACTACTATGTTGGTGAAAGGTATACGAGACGGTGATACTAGCAGTGCAGAATCCCTGAAATATGAATTTTCTACAATTAGAGCAGCAACAGATAACTTCTCAAATGATAATAAATTGGGTCAGGGCGGATTTGGTCCGGTGTACAAGGTAAAAATTCTTTACAATGTCACTATATATAATTAATTCATTCTTTCAATTTGTGTTGATCTGCTTCAGGGTAAGCTTTCAAATGGACAAGAAGTAGCAGTAAAGAGATTGGCTGCAAATTCAGGCCAAGGTGATCTAGAATTCAAAAACGAGGTCTTATTGGTGGCCAGGCTTGAACACAGGAATTTGGTTAGGTTACTCGGATTTTGCTTTGACGGAACAGAGAGACTTCTTATCTATGAATTTGTTCCCAATGCGAGCCTTGACCACTTTTTATTTGGTATGTATTGCTTAGCTTTTTACCTGATCTTCTACACAGACAATATATAGAAGGTGAACATTTTATAAAATATGGAGCTTATTATTCATTTGATTGTCCAATGGGAATGCAAATCCGGTTAAACGTAAGCATCTGGATTGGGAAAGACGATCCAAAATCATAGGAGGCCTTGCTAGGGGAATTCTTTATCTTCATGAGGATTCTAGACTTCGCATCATTCACCGTGATCTCAAAGCTAGTAATGTTCTACTTGATGCAGAAATGAATCCTAAAATCTCAGACTTTGGCATGGCAAGGTTATTTGCAATGGATGAATCTCAAGGAATCACAAGCAAAATTGCTGGGACCTAGTAAGTTTTATATCTCTCATTAGATAGACTGTTCATAAATACCCAATTTGCAGCACAACATTCTACCTCAGTACTTCCTAAGTTTATTAGAAAATGTCTTAATTTCATTAATGGAATGTGTAGTTCTGGCTTTTAACGGCAAGTAGTTCCCTGTTGACAGCTTATTCAGTCATGCTGATCCCCCTATTTGCAGTATCAAACCCCAGAAATGAGTTTTTTAGCCTTTTTAACTCGAGTCTGTTGAAGAAAAAAAAACAAAATTAAACAATTGAATCATATCTAACCTACCAAATGTTATGTAATTCTTGTTTTGGCTTTGCAGTGGATATATGGCGCCAGAGTATGCAATGCAGGGAAAAATGTCAGTCAAATCAGATGTTTTTAGCTTTGGAGTATTAGTCCTGGAAATTTTAGGTGGGCAAAGAAACACTTGTTTCATAAATGGAGAATATGTGGGAAACCTTCTAAGCTACGTAAGTAGTAACCAAGCCGATTAATCAGCTTTACCTTTCAATTTCAAATTAGTCGAGGTCAGGTGCATGTAAATTATTTTACACTATTAGTGTTAAAATTCTTAAACTAAACTGTCACAGGCTTGGAGGAATTGGCGTGAAGGAACAACATCAAATTTAATAGACCCCATGTTGAGGGGAAGCTCGGGACTGGTTTCTGACATAACGAGATGCATCCACATAGCCTTATTGTGCGTTCAAGAAAATGTTGCTGATAGACCAACTATGGCTGCAGTAGTTCTCATGCTCAGCAGTCTCTCTCTGGCTCTTTCAGTGCCTTCAAAGCCCGGATATTATATGCAAATTGATGTTATCCCAAATATTTCACCTATTCAAGGATACAAATCAAGATTAATATCAGAATCTAATCGACCAGCCAAAAGTAAATCTATTTGCTTATCACAAAATGAGATGTCAATAAGTGAGTTAGATCCTAGATGATAGAGTTAGATATAATTGCCCTTTGTACTTATTATATTATTTCTTTGAACGAGTGATCATTACTGATGATTAAGGATTTAATTTAGGGATATTCACGGAGAATTAGCAACTCCTAATAACAAAAGAACATGGTACTATTTCACTTTCAAAACATCGCAACAAAAGTTGTTCTTTTCTCTCAATTCCTAACACATAGTGGTGTTCCACTTCATTTTCCAAATTTGCAAAAGACACAAAAACAGAATTTTCCGTGTATTCACTTGTATATGATGATTGGACAGTTTGTTAAACATAAAACACAAAAGTTTCAATCTCGTCCAGGGATTGTTTTACTCACCAATCAACTAACCACAACAACCGAACCAGTATGTTATACGAAAAAAAAAACTGAGGAATCCCCGAAACGTTGATTCCTTATTGGACACAGCTTATATTAACATTAAGAAAGTGAACAGCTGCTTGGCAGGTTCCATTGTTAATTGATTTGTCAATTCAATTTGACTCACTTTTAAGAAGTTAAGATGTTTTCTCTGAGATATGTACATGTCAAAATAGAAGAAAAATAATGGAGTGAAGTTTAAAACACAAGGAAAAAGAATTAGATACAAATAAGTTGGATTTCCATTTCTGTAATCATATAATTCAAAGAAGAACAAGAAACTGTCATAACTTCCCGCCCTTGTTGGCTTGTTTGCATCCACTTCCTGTCCATAAATTAGAGTTGTTAAATTCCAAGTAAATTTGTCAATTCCAAAAATATAAAAAATAAAAAATACTCCATATAATAGACCAAGTCAAAAGTTTTTTTTTTTTTTTTCAATGCGTGTGACGCCCAAGCAGACGTGCAGTCAAAAGTTGATGTCATCTTATGTGACATGAATTTTATTTGGAGTATTAGAAACGACAAACAAGAGTAGTGTGCTACATGGAAATTCATACTAAAGGGAAGTCGTCAAACCTAAAGAAATTCAAAGCAGCAATACCAAAATAACTTTTTGAAAGCTTCTAAGCCTAGAAAACACAATCTCCTTATTTACTCCCATCCATTTCAATGCTTGAATTTTCTGCCTTCCATATTACTTCATAGACTGAGTCAATCTTCCAACAACAAAAAGGTTGAAAAACTGAAAATTTGGAGCCATGCCTTCTATTTATACAGTCTCAAACACGTTAATTGAGCAGACAGCTATGGGTTCCTTGAAATGGCTGATCATTCTAATATTCCAATTTTACTACCTTTTCTACCTCACCATAGCACAGCCTGATTTCACTTTTCAATCGCCCTGTGAAAGTAATGTGACAGAGTACCCTCCAAATGGTACATACCACACAAACCTTAACACAATTCTCTCCTCTCTTTCGCGCAACATAGACAGTGATGGCTTCTATAATGCTACCATAGGCCAAGATCAGGACAGGGTTAGTGCCATCGCGCAATGTAGAGCAGATGTTGAATTACAAACATGCCGCGACTGTATAAATAATGCTACTCGCTTGATTTTAGAGAAATGTCCTTCCAAGAAATCAGCCTTTGGCATTTATAATCTGTGTCTGATAAGATATTCTAATGAGTCTTTCATAGGCACCATGTCAACCGACCCGCGATTTATTTATTATGTCCTCGGGAATTTCTCGGACCCCCAATTGTTTTTTAACCAATATCTGACACCCGTGTTGACAAGCTTACGAACTCGAGCTTCAGCGGGTGGAAAACGCAAGTTTGCTGCTAATGTTTTTAGTGCCCCTAATTTTCAGACTATACATGCACTTGTACAGTGCACATCCGATTTATCAGCTCAAGGTTGCTACAATTGTTTAAGCGCTGTCTATTCAAGTTTGACTGACTGTGAATGTTATGCAAAGAGGGGAAACTACCATTTGATGCCCAGCTGCATTGTTCGGTATGAACCTTACTCATTCTTCAATGAATCATTACTGACTGAAGGTCCGCCACCCTTATTGTCACCACCGCAGCCAGCCTTATTGCCACCACCACCACCACCAGGTATTTGAAATCTTTGTGGACACATTGTTTGGATAGTTGTTATGTATTATTTCATAATGTATCCTATTATAATGCATTGTGTTGTATTGTATCGTAATGTATTGTTTTAATGAATACAATGTTTAGATAGATCGCATTGTTTCCAATCGTTGCATAATGCCACACATTCATAATTTGAATGATAACCTACAAAAAAAAGTAGGAAACAAGATAGAGCTACTATGAAAAAGTAGGATAAAAGATAAAATATAATTATTTAATCATCATCATATATCATATCATATATCATATTCTCCTTATTTAGAAATGAGACTTTGTTGGGACGAACACCGCACAACAAACTTGTACAAAATGCATTCCAAATAGTACTATAAAATTAATTATGGCACATTAACAAAAATAGACACGCCTATTATACGTGTCCTTTCTATCCATACAACAACCCACGTGTACCTTCCTTTTCCCAATTTATAATTACTTTTCTTCTTTTCTCCCTCAGTTTCTCCCTGTCTGTATCTTGTAATCTTCTTCTTTTTCTACTCTTCATTCTTCCCTTTTATTCTCTCTTTGTTTTATTCTTTTTTAATTCTCTACATTAATGAAATAAATATAACTCCTAAAGAAATTTATTTCACTTTAACCTAATTTTTCAAGTCGGGTTTCTAAGAATTCATTCAATCATCATATATTTTGTAGATGACTTAAGGGATTGAAAGTTCTACAAATGCACATAAATTATTTTGGAGTTCACATATTGTGAGCTAAGGAATGAGTGGGCTGCAATGAAATTGCAATTGATCTTACATTTTTGCCTAATTATATTTTTGGGATTTATTTAACTCGTGATTTTGTTTCTTATTTGCCTCAATTCTGATGAATTCTTCTTTCTTCATTGCTTAATTAATGCATGCAGGTATTGCTAATGGAATTTGATGGACATTTGTATCAGCTTTCGGTTCGTTTGGATACTTGGATTTTCTACATACATATTTGTATGTGTTTGATTTACGGGTTCTTTCCACTTTCAATTTTTTTCGTCGAAGTTTATACATATGTTTAATTTTATAATCGAATTTCCCCATGTATCTTCAAGCTAAGCAAGTAAAGAAGAAGCCTGGATATATGTGGAACATTTCAAATTTCGAGATTCAAATAAGTTTTATCATCAACTTCATGATTATTTTTGTGGTACTTTATTTACAGTCTTCGTGGAACAGAGAACTAAATCCTAATTCAGAACATTTATATCTGCTTATTATAAACATGTTACTGTATCACGACACTATTAATTATTAAAATGAGAGCTTGCAAAACTGATTTAGACCAAAGAGAGCTACTTCATTTTTATTTGTTTTAGCGACCTGGTGCAAATTAGAACAATATTGAGCATTATAACATTTTTTATTTTACCTTTTTAGAAGTGGGAGTTGTGCTAGGACGAACACAACACTAAAAATTGGTACCTTACTCCTTATTAGAAGTGACACTTTAGAGAACGAACACGGCACTACCAAGTTGTAACAAAGCATTTCAAATTGTACTGTAAAATTAATTGTGACTCATAATTGTACACGTGTCTTTCTACATAGACAACAACCCACATGAATAATTATTTTTCTGACCTTTTTTTCTCAGTTTCTCTCTCTATATATTTGTTTTTTTTTCTTTTTTTCTACTTTCCATTCTCCCCTTTTACTCTCTTTAGTTTATCTTTGATCTTAAATTTTTCATAGATTTTTAAAATATTTTAAATTATTAATTATTATGAATTATAATATTCTAATTTTTATGTAGTTTACAAATATATAAATTTCATTTTTAAAAATTTCAAGATACCATATGCAAATTTACGGTCAAACTTAAACTATTTGATTCTCGAGAAATAAAAAGTGTCACATAAAATGGGACTGACGAAGGATAACTCTCAATTAAATTTATTTCACTTTTTATTTTCCATTTTTAACATAATTTTTCAAGTTGAATTTCTAGGAATTCTATTGTAGACCCATTTAAATTTTACCTTTTTGTTTTAAACTAGAGAACTTGGCCGAACTTCGTGCGATCATTAAAAGTTAAATATTTTTGATTAATTTTATATTTACTCTGTTGTTTAATCGTAATATTATTGTTTGTTTTAATAATATGAAGATTGTGAAAAAAAATAAAGATTGACAAATTTTACATATGAGGAAGAATATATTTTTTAATAACAAATAAGTTATAATATATTTGCTAATAACAAATTCTTCCATTGCATGAAGTTGATCCTTTAATATATAATAAATATTCCGGTGTACCATTCTCCTTAAATGTCTAAGAAATATCTCGTAATGTGAAATAACACTGTAATACTCCATTTGTCCCTAATTACTTGTTCACTTTTAAATTGACACATTTATTAAGAAAACAATTAATGATATGGTGAGTTTATCATTTTAGCCCTATTAATTATGAAGTAGATGAAAAGTTCTGCAATTTTCAAAGTAATTAGTCATTTAATTGAGGGTATAATAGGTAAAAAAAAATGTTCTTTCTTGATTTATCAAAATGGACAAGTAATTAGGGACAACTATAAAAGGAAAAGTGAACAAATAATTAGGGACAGAGGGAGTACTAAACAAATGCATCAGCAAATGAAATTTATATTAAAAATATATTGAATAATGACGTAATGATACCTTAATAGAATTTCCTATCCATTTAAAAAAAAAAAAAACTTCACCCTTTCAATTTCGTTATATCTTCTTATTTAGTAGAAGAATCATCATCTATTATATTCTACTCCACTTTAATTTGTACCATTAGAGTTTTAAGAATAAACATTAAATTTTAAATCGAAATAAAAAATCATTGAATTATGACAGAAAAAATAATAAAGTATATGAAAATTGAAATAAGGTGCAAGAAAAGCCTTTTCACGATAATTTTTTGAAATATATTGATAACAATTAAAATGGAGCTGTTATTTTATCTTTAAAATTAAGTTTGATTGAATTGAATTAGTAGAATGAGAAAAAATATTAAACTAATAATTTTTTAATGTTATTAAATGCATTTTCTTTTTAATTGAGTAATAGATTAAAAGTTTCGAATTAGGATATTAAATTAATATCTTACTCTCTCCTTAATTATTATGGTATTGAAAACATTTATTTTCCTTAAATGGTGATTCATTTTCCATTTACAGTTATATCCAATTAATTTCTAATGTATTGAATGTGGTTATGGGATATTCAAATAATATCTTTATCTTTCCTTAATTATAATAAAATTATAATTTAACATATATTTTTCTGAAATGATAATTTTGTTTTAATTCCTAGAACATATTGTTTACTCTATTGAATGTAATTATAATAAAACATATTGTATTTAGTATGACAAAAGAACTCAAAAAATTGAGAAATTAGATAAATAGTAATCTTAGCTTCTAAGAAATGTCACATCATCATTTACATATCCAACTTTATATATATAAAAAATTAAATTTTTAACATAAAATTTCCAATCTTTTAAATTAAAAATAAATGCTAAAAATAAAAATAAAAATCAAGGCAATAATTATTTTAAAGAAAAATATAACCAAAATTGTCAGAAAAAATTGATAAGAATAAATAAGTATCTATTACTAAGAATTGTGTCACTACATTTTCTATTTTAACTTTATTGTTACATATGGATAGAAACTTTTAGAAGAAGAAATGATCCAAAAATTTAAAAATAATGATTCCTTAAGTGGTGATTCCTTTTCCATTTACAGCTTTTCAATTAATTTTTAATGTATTAAATATAGTTATGGATATTGGAATAATATTTTTATCTTTCCTTAATCATAATAAATTATATTTTAACCTTTGTGTTTTGTAAAATGATAATTTTCTTTTCATTCGTACAACATATTGATTAATATATTGAATGTAATTACAATAAAACATGTTGTATTTAGTATGACAAAAGAATTCAATTTTTTTAGAAATTAAATAAATAGTAATCCTAACTTCTAAGAAATGTCACAAATATATATATATATATATATATATATATATATATATATATTTCTACGAAAATGATATAAATTACATTAATGATGAAATGAAAATTAAGGAAAGAAGTAAAAGAAATTAATAATAATATTGATGATGATAGGAGTTAAATAAATCATTTTTTATATTTTATAAATTTTCAATATAAATTTTTCAGTATTTTAAAATTAGAAAATGCTAAAAAAATAAAACTAAAACTAAAAATCGAGGCAACAATTATTTTAAGGAAAAAATAACAAAAAATGTCAGAAATATTGATAAGAATAAATAAGTATCTATTACTAAGAAGGTGTCACCCCACATTTTCTATTTTAGCTTTATTATTCCATATAGATAGAAACTTTAAGATGAAGAATGATCCAAAAAATTTAAAAATAACAAATCAATTATGTAAAAATACATGTGTAATTCTTATAAAGTTATAATAACTAATTTCTTCAAATAAATAATTAAAAGAAAGAAAAAAAAGTTATTAAGAAAATAATATAAATAACACTAATTATGAGATTAATAGCATTGATGAGGAAAGGAACTAAATATGATCATCTTTTTAAATTCTTTTTTTAAGAAAATATATATAAACTTTAATAAAGATAAATAAGAAAAAAAACTTTAATTAAAGACACAAAAAATCAAGACAAAATAAAAGAAGAAAGAAATTAGAAGAATAATGAGGTTGAAAGAAATAATATCTAATTTTCTCCCTTTTCAAATCACAAAATAAAATTTTGCTTGTTCTCCTCCTAATTTGATACGAATTTCATAAATAGAATGATTTTTTTTCCAAATAATTTTTCTTACCCTTTGAAACACTAATCAACTTTCTTATAAATTTCTCAACCACAATGAATTTTCTCTCCTTGTAGGAGGAATAAACATTTTTCAAAAACTCTTTTATTTTGAAGAGAAACTTTTGTTACATGATCTATTTCTTTACATCAATTTCTTCACAAGAATCATGAGAT